AAATATTTTAACTCGGGAGCTGGCAGTATGGAAACATTTGGCCCTAACATTTGTCTAGGTCCCATTGTTTCCATCACTTGTGTAAAGCGCACAAAGATTTGCTTTATGTTTCTAGAATAGAAAACAGTGTTATAACAATATTTTGTGTTTTTTTCATGAACATAGAAAAATATTTGCGCTAATCGAAGGTCACGTACATTCAATGTCAGCTTATAGTTGAAATAGGAGTTATACAAATGCTATGTACATAGTACTAGTTGATGTTGTTAACCAAATTGTTTGCTATCCCCTTGTTCCACCTGTGACTGCTAACATAACCCAGTTATCCCTGACCGCATGAGTGCTCGACACAAGCGATGGTTATAATAAATTGGCCATATAATACAGGAGGCCAAATGGGGCTACAGACGTACGATGGGCGCGATGTTCGCATACAGCAAGCAAGCAGATCGTATGCTGATGTCGTACAATTGTCAGGTTCAGCAGTGTGCGAGGGCGGGACACGCCAGGCCACCGTCCAGGATGAGCCTTATACAGTGCATCAGGTAAGACCCTGTTTTTTATCATAATTGTATCTATATGTGTACAGTTTTGCGTCAAATATCTCCGTATGTGATACCTCATCTCCTTTTCTCGATCTCATGGTGTATCTTATCTGTCCATTTCCTTCACACATATTCCGTTTGCGCGCCGCCTATTCTTGGACTTATAAATTTGATTTCCGACACAAGTACGTTTATACATAGTTGTGTGAGGTGTTCGCTGCTGTGTATTATTTTATATAGAGTGTCGTTTTGGCTTGTAGCCACTCTGTGACTGATTGCGGCTTCTACGCTGTTAAAGCGTACAACAAACATAACAGTTTTGTTGACCTTTCATTCAAATGTTTACTTATTCAAATGCAACGACCACGATATATAGAATCTGAGTGGAAATTCGCAATTCCACATTCAATGAAACGAAATATAAAAATTAATTTAGCGTGTACTTAAATAATCAGACACCGACATAAAGAATAAGTCAAAACCGCTTCCAACTCGTGCGGTTATCAAGAGTATGTTAATAGATAACAAGTGTGATGCCCAAGTGTCACGAGAGCTGAACGTGGGCCGGATTCGCGATCGCGACCCCATTGGTGCGCTCAGTATTTGCAGATTAGCAGTCAGCTGCCAATACCCGCTGATTGCTTATCGGTTTGCATTTTTTATTAGACCACTATCTCGGATGTAGGAACAAGTAACGACTCCTCCGCAGAACACATTAATATAAAGTTAAGCTTTCTCGAGGTTAGGACTCGACCTCACCCGAACTCTGTATTTATAGTTTGTATGTTGACATTAAAATATTATCTCAATGGACGAGATATCCATTTACGTCACGAGCTAACTCAATAATTATCACCGAAGTAAGTGCAAAGGTGATATACTGACAACGATTTGTTTTTGCAGACACATAGTCCAGACTGAGGGCCCTAGAGCATTGTTCAAAGGCCTAGGACCCAACATAGTTGGAGTAGCACCATCTAGGGCCATATACTTCTGCACGTACTCGCAAGCCAAGGCGATATTGAATCAAAACATATCACCGGACACCCCGATCGTGCACCTATCCGCAGCTAGCGCTGCAGGTAATGAACGTTTCTCGCTGTTTATGAATTATGTTATATACTCGTACTCGACGCGCTCATTATATTATGAGATATGGCCATGGAGACTAAAATAAACATTATGTTATCATAATTGTCTTTCTCTCCTAACCCTGCTATATTCATTGTTGTAATAAACACGTCTGTAGTAATCATCACGCACCAGTTACAAAAAATAAATGTTTCAGGTTTTGTGTCTTGCACAATGACCAATCCGATTTGGTTTGTGAAGACGAGGTTGCAGTTGGACGGTCAGAATGTCACAGCGTTGCAGTGCATTAAGAGGATATACGCGAAAACGGTACAGAACTCGGCAGTTACACCTCTAATAAAAAACTAATACATGATTTAGCATCGAATTTTTTTAACATGTCTCTAAAAACATTATTTTAGGGTATCAGAGGTTTCTACAAAGGTATAACAGCTTCGTACATGGGCATCAGTGAGACTGTAGTCCACTTCGTACTGTACGAGGGTGTCAAGGCGAGACTGATGGCAGCGAGAAGCGTGGACGGTGTGCCCAGTGACCAGCGCTCTCCTAGAGGACTTCCTGGAGTTCATGGGAGCCGGAGCTTTCTCAAAGACAGTCGCTTCTTGCATTGCGTATCCACACGGTAAGTATCGTACCATATATGATAAACGTTAAGAAACTTCTCTTTATCTTAATACCATTTCAATGTAAAAAAAGTAGATCTGAGGCAAATATCAAACAAGTGATACGCTAATCAAATACACAGATTCAGTACCACTGTAACATTTTAATTAGCATGGCCTCTAAAGGAGTTTTGAAGCACCATTAGTTCTTGGCCATTGTATAAATAGATTACACTGATTATACACAAGAGGTCATTAACATACTCGTAATGCATATGTAAGCCGACCGATGTGTCACCTTATCTAGAATATTTTCCGTCTGCCTGATAGGGAAAGTTAATAACTAATAAGCAAATACGAGGATCAACATCGCTTACTGATTTTTTTTTATAAAACCCCTGTTATCTTGTCCAAAATCCGTGAGTGATTTTCCATTAATTAATAATGGAAAGCAAATAAGATAAAGTTATCAACGAGACGCGACAAGAAATTAGAACGATATTTTCTTCATAAACTCTTTATGAAATTGCAGAGGTCGCAAGAACCCGGCTCAGAGAGGAAGGTGACAAGTACCGCAAGTTCTGGCAAACGCTGCACACAGTACTGAAGGAGGAAGGATACCGGGGAGTCTATAGGTAAGCACTGCAATCTTATCAAAAGTCAACATATTCGGTAACTGTGCCAACTATTCTATTATTAATAACTTGTCTGTCGTTTCAGGGGCTTAGGCACACAATTAGTACGTCAGATACCAAACACGGCGATCATGATGTCAACATATGAGGCAGTAGTGTACCTACTGACTACACACTTTAATAGTTCCTTCTACGAGAACACCTAGCTTACTACTTATGGACTCCTTCATTTTCTCCGAGCCGCCTTGAGCGCCAAAATAGTAGTTTCGTAGGCCGACGTTTAGACAAGGTTCTCGAATGTCCATTTAGCGAGACTGAGGGACATTGCATGGTTGTTGTGGCTGAGAAATTACGAAAACTCTCCGGTAACCACAAGTCTCATTGTGGTACGATAAAGCGTAACACCATGTTCTCAAAATTGTAACAAGCTTAGGGTCAGCATTACTTGGCAAGCGACACATTATCTAGAAATTTTATAAATAAAAGCAATTATTGCTTAAAACATCGAAATATCCATCCTTACAAATTGGGCTACATTCAATTGGCCAGTTATATTTGTGTATTTATGTACTTACAAGGTGATGATACTTATGCAGATAAGATATGTTTTCTGTTCTTTACCCTTTGGACTCGTAAGTCTATACTTTCGATCTTATAAGTTATTGAATGGATCTTATTTGCTAAAGTATTTGTCAACAAACTAATCATGCTATCAAATTCTAGATTTTAAAACGTCATTGGTATAATTCTCCTGTTTTTTGTCATTATTTAGTATTGTAGTGTTGTATGACTGAAATTAATCTTGTTGTTGAACTAATTAGATATATTAAAAAGTAATTTTGCTAGTACATTAAAAATTATTGCACTTTCAAAATGAATATTGCGAACAAAAATGTTATATTTTCACAAAATATATTTTGGAAAACATTTTTATGTATTCAGTTGATTATTATTCGGAATAAAATTGTCCCTATGATGATGATGATCCGTTAATTAATTTAGTCATTAGTATCTAGTCTCATTAAGTGCTTGAACCATGTAAATGCCTTAATCATAAAATTAGGATCAGTCATCAAATGATTACATTACCTAGTATAAGTTTTGCTGATTTATATCCACACAGATGTGAAGTAATTGTGCCAATATAAGAGAAATATTATTTTGGGAACTTTGGTTAGAATTATTAATTTTTTGATGTTTTTTTTATGTTGTTGCTGTGTAAGTCTACTGTGTCAAACAGGCTTTTTACTATAGTAGTCTAGGTTTATCGAATCCCACTGTTTTAATTGGACTAGTCAATTGTTATCCGATACTAGTTCCCTGAAGAATTCGTCCATTGTAAATTTGACAACACAAAATTAAAAATGCACAAGTTTATATTTTTACTAATAAATCTGTTTCAGTCTCAGCACACAAAATAGTAAAACGTAAGCTGTGATATAGAGCTTGTAAATATTAGTTTATGGAAAAATTAAATATATAACTGTCCCACATTGTTCCAACTTGCAAACTTTGAATCTGGTGGTCTATTGATACTCTTGTTATTGTTCCATTACTTGCAGCTTGTACTAAACTCAATTCAATTGAGTTTATTTTAAAACAGGTTTCATAATTGAGATATTGTTCTGTTCAATTTAAATAAATGGCAGTTCAATGTCTCCAAAATAATAGCATGATACAATAATGAAGTATGAATGGGCCAGTATTTGAGAATTGTGTTAATTTTATATAGATTTTATTCTGTCTGGGAACACAAATAGCATTAAATGCTTTCAATCATATCTGTTATGATTGATTGGTTATTGTTAAATATTATAATTATATTCAAGTTAAGAGTGACTTATAATTTAAGCATAATAAGGTTTCCAGACATAGGCAAGTAGATCTTTGATGGTTATGTTAATTTAGAGAACACATTTGGACATTTGTCGGACTGAGTATAAAGTACTATTATTTGTTTAATGAATAAAATATTTAAATAAATGTATGTTGTTCTTTTTTTAATTATTACTTCCCTATAAACAAAAGCAACCTCTTTCTAATATGACATTGCAAAACAATGAAATATAAAAAATTAAAAACCTTTATTTAAAACAACACAAATAAATACACCATAAATAAATTAACTAAGAAATAACAGGCTTTAGAAGAGTTCTGATGGAAACATTAGTTATTAGCACCCAGACATGTGTGGAGATAGCATTTGGCATGTCACTGGGGTACCTTAGCATGGTTGTTAAAGGAAACAGATCTCCTTTCAAGGCGACAATGGGTTCCCGCCTAAACCATATGACAGACAGTACCGTCGTGACACCCACAACAACTTGAAGAACCAACTGTATAGTACTTTTAACAGCTAAATTCTTCCCAATACGTGTTTGTGAATCATCTTTCAACTGACTTTCTAGTTTATTGATTTTCCTCTGCAGCTTGGAATAAGCGGCGAACTCATCTTTCATAGAAATGCCTTTTTGTTCCGCTTTAAGTTTGAGTATTTCTGACCATACCGATCGCTCCTCATTCGATGGCCTAGCAAAACATGCCGCAATCTAAAAATAACAAAGTTCTCATTAATTCTATGCAACGCTTATAAGAGAGACACACAAACTGAAGATCAGTACTCACTGGCTTCACCAATTGAGGAACTAAAACACTGAGTGTACACAACAGAACAAAGTAAACCAAAAGAAATCCATTTATAACCTCCAACATTTTGTCAACTATGATTGTAACTCTTTACTCTTCGTTGAACTAAATTATTCGGGAGTGTCGAAACCTTTGTTTATAATTAATTCAAATATACGGGGGCTCGTGATTACGGACCGCCTACAAATTTTAATTATTTTTATACTTTTGTCTCCTCACCCTTGTCATGTTTTGGTTGTCACTTGTCAGTCAAGTGAATGTCAATGTCTGTGAAATAGGAAATGTCAAACACTAGAATGTTACTATTTAAAAAAAAGACAAAGCTAGTCGAGATATTTTTATACAAACTACAAATAAAATAATACCTTTATTAAAATTACTCTAAAATTACATTTTCAAAGATTACTAATATTTAAAATATAAAAATAGGAGCCAGCTGCCAGCGGGAGCAAGGTCCACGCTACCGGTGGTTAGGGCTCTAGAGACAGAAATTTCCTCACAATACTGGACTTTTTTCTGTATGAGGCCCTTGATCTACCCGCCTAACGTCAGCCTCTTAAGGTGGTTGTCGAGGCTTTTGCCAATGAATCCAGTTGCCGACGCAACTGCCGCCACAATGATAGCCGAGTCCGCACTCCACTCCTCAACAACCTCGTGAGCCAAGACAAGACATTTTAATTGTTTATCCTTGTCAGTTTTTATGGGGTTCTCGTCACGAGGATTGGTAACTTCGATTATGATTGTGCGACGTGAGGCTTATTGGCAATACAATCACGGAATAGAATTCTGTTCTGTGGCTTCAATAGTCCTGTCAGTGATGATAGACCGATCCTAGCACAATGTGATATTTAAAGTCTTTTTCTAGAACTGGGTCGGGCACATACTTGTGGTATGGTACCTCAGTCTCAGGAAGCCGGTATTTTAATGCAAAGTTGTTGGTATTTTAAAGCAATCTTGGCCAGCTGATTATGTCTGTGCAAGTATTCGCAATTGGCCAAGCGACTACAGCCGGAAATAATGTCTGATGGATTCACCGAGGCTATAACATGTCCGATATATGTCAACCGTCCCATCCTTCATTTTATATTTCCGGTAGTTATTCGTAAGGATAACTTCGTCCATAATTTCACATAAAAATCCTTCAGTTTTTCCGAAGAGGTTACTGAACCGTAGCCACGATACAAACGCTAGAAAATTGTTTGGTTTGCACCAGTTCTCTTTTCAAATTCAAATTCAAAATAAGTGTACATAATTTAAGCCAAGGATATTTCTAATCTTTTTTTAAAGATTAAAACGTTGTCCCACACTAGGGTTTTCTCCTGTCGTGGGTGCGTTTACAAATATACAAATTCACATACACATCACACCCAGATCAGGAACAACATTTTGTGGATCACACAAAGAGTTGTTCCGGAGCCGTGCGGAATCGAACCCGCGACACGTTGCACGGCAGCCAGTTACGCAGCCACCGCGCCAACCGTGCAGTCAAGCTTTAGCCTAGGATACTATTTCTCGATGCATACCCTCGTCCACTTTTAGGAGATATTCTCTGAGATTGCACACCTGACGGTTACGAAAGGTCTTAGCATTTAAAAAGCCTCGATCTCCACATTTCCGCAGGATGTACAATCACACGACTGACGAACGAGGATGATGCATTCGATTTACAATCAGCAGTGTCCGGACTCACCTACTGAGGGTGTCAAGTTCACCTCTTTAGCGGTTCGGATTATAAAACTGGAGGCGATCGGCTTCGTGCTTGCAGGTGGGATATCCACTATAAAGCGATGACGATTTGCCGATTGTCTGGTGGTACGATGGTGGAAAGGATGTATCCTATAGGGGGAATCGAAATGTATCCGATTAATAACCGATAGGCTCGCAACTTCGACCCTATATACGAGGCTTTGAAAGCCTGGCCTCCACCAACGTATTGTCTTGGCACGCCTCTCAATGTGTCTAGCTGTTGTTAACTCCAGCCTAGATAAAAGCCCCTATGATGATCAGCCGGGGTTGCAGGGTAGGCGCAATGAGGCACCGCGACCTCGGCCTAGAGCAGGAGAAGGAACAGGGGAGGAACTTTTAGTCAGTAAGAGTCTGACACTCCCTCCCGCCCGGCCCTGGGCGGGAGAAGTCATTTGATGATTTTCCCCTCACAAAATAAAGCCTAGATGAAAGCAGTACTCTACACAGGACCGACTTGCACTTGGTAAGGTTAAGCAGTTGTTCCGGCTTGAAGTACTGCCTTACCATCAACAAAATGCTAAACTTCCTACCAGCTAGTTGTGATAAAGGAGCCGAAGTTAAATGTGGCCTTCGGAGTTACACCAAGAAGCTCAAGATGATCAGTCACGGGCAACGGAGACATTCCGGAAAGTAGGAGCCACCGAAAATTGACTCTATTTAGCGGAGAATCGATACTCCTGGGTTTTGATAGCATTGAAACCATTTTGGCGTCACCCCAGCCGGAGACCGCCTTTAAGGATAAGTTCAAGCGTTCAACTATGGATTCTCTTAGAGACTGGACCTGTGTTCCGCTGATCCACGCATTGAATACATAGCATTCAACAACTGTGCTGTCATTTCAAAAATAACTTTTATTGCAAACTCAAGACTATTTACTGTCTGGGCTGATACGGTGAGAATAGGTGCGGTACGACGAAACTTCTTCAAGGCCAACGTATGTAAGGCTGTGTAAGGCTTACAGGACAGTACTGAGGCCCTACCCGTGCTCGCCGGATTATTTCCTGTTGATCTTGAGGTGCAACGAAGTGCTACTAAGTACTGCCATGCGAGACAAAACTTTTATGCGAACTTTCTAACACAACGCGATCGTAACAAGATTTCAAGATTGTTAAAGCCGCTAGCGGATAAACTTCTTACTGAATGGCAGTGTAGATGGAAATCTTCTATTAAGGACCACCATCTTTATCAGTTTTTTCCATGCGTACAAGAGCGGCTGGAGACATGGTTGGAGGTGAATCATTGTGTAGTTTCTTACAGGCCACGACAAATTTAAAAGTAAATTATTTTCTTTTAAACTTGGTGCTAATGTTCGACATCGGAACTGCAACATGAGCAGTCAGCCAATGATATACTCTGGGAGTTTAGTCTCTGTGCAATATGAACGGATCGTAACGCTATGTTAGATAATTTAAATGTCGCATCAGGTGTAATTATATAATTAATTATAGACCTTGTAAAGCGTAGAACAAATTCCCATGCATTAAGGCATTTTTGCCATACCTACTATTGGAAACAAGTATCTCACACATAGGTCTCATTACAATATTTTTGCTGTAGTGTTTGGTGACTGGGCTTCTCCCAGTTTTATAGTCTCGTTTGTGACTTTGAGGCTTAAATCATTCTGTCTCCTGTATTAAATTTACCGAGGGAAGTCGAAAATATTTAATTTTTTCTTTTTTTTTATGTAATAGCTCGGCAAACTAGCAGGCGGATTACCTTATAGCGGCATACATACCTACAGTCTATGGCATAACCACCACACCTCATACATATTACCAGATTACCTTTACCGTACCTCCTTGAAGAACCAGATTACCGTTACCATACCTCCGTGAACAACAAACCAATACCAACGTTTTTGACTTTCTGTGATCAGAAACAGCGAAACAAGCCGCCTTGAAAAAGGCGTTGCAAACGTTTTAGACTTCTGACAGAAACTCGTCTTGAAAAAGACGCTTGTAACGTTTTTGACTTCTGCTGACAGAAACTCGTCTTGCAAAAGACGTTTTAAAACGTTTTTGACTTCTGCTCAGAAACGAGGTATAATGAGCAAGCGAATAAGCAGGCAAGCAAGCAGAAGCGAAGCTCGAAGCACACGAAGACACGAAGTCGCGGTCCACGACACTGGACACGTCTGTAGTCGTCGGCGGCACCGGAGCGAAAGGACGCATCACGCGGCACGCGCCCTATTATAGCCTCGCGACATCGCGGCGAACGGCGACCGCGACGGCGCATGCGCGCAGCCGCTCTGTCGAGCCTTGCGACGAACGCGCGCTGCTATTGGTCAATTGTATTTACATATGTGTGATAGTGTATAAGTTAGCCATAAGACATGTAAATATAAGTAGGGATATGTAGCCGAATAAATCATTCCAAACCACGACAGCCTCGAGTTAATTACAAGAAGAAACCCTGCTCTCACTCCTAAAACCTGATGGTAAGCAATCAGCGCCGCCCATGGACACTCGCAACGGAGGAGTTACGAGTGCGTTGCCGACCTTTTAGGGATTAGGGATTTAGAGATTTAGGGATTGAGGAGGGATTGAGGAAGGGGAAGGATTGGGCCTCCGGTAACCTCACTCACACGGCGAAACACAACGCAGTGGTTATTTCACGCCGGTTTTCTGTGAGGCCGTGGTATCACTCCGGGCAGGTACCCATTCGTGCCGAAGCATGGCTCTCCCACACTTAAACTTTAACTTTCTTCTTGAAATAATATTTTCTTTCCTTGCTTCCTCCAGTCATTCATGTCCCTGGAACCTAGAACGACTTCAGTGTTCATGGTTGTATCTACTATAGATTCTGGCTAAAGGAGTTTCAGCGTTTTAAAAAGGGTTTGGCCCAAACTCACACACAATTTTTACAACACAGTTTTTACCCAAAGATATCGCGCCTAAGCAGGTCATAATATGCAGCAAAAAGAGCGGTGCTGAGAGTAGTGAGAAGTAGTAAGAATTGGCCAGACGAGTAGCCGATCCTCAATGTCTGCTATTTATCTGTATAGACCAGTAGGAAGCCCATATGCTGGAAGCTTCAAAGGCCTTCTAAATATTGAGCGACAAAATCAGTGCCTCCCCGTGCTTTTCGTGAGCCTTCTCCCAAATGTGAGTGGCATACGCAAGAAGGTAATATGGAAAATAATGTTTATACTCATGAGCAACTTTGCGGTAATGAAGACAATCATGTTTGTTTTTTAAGGACATATAATTTTAATTTTCGACGACAAACTTTTCTTACCAGACAAATAAAAATGACGGGAAAGTGGAATTTTGAATTTTATGCTGGCAACCGGTATTTACATTTTCGTCCTGCCACAAGTGTCAGGTTTACAAAATAATAAATAAATTGTACCTATTTTATTGATTGACTTGAGTGAAGGAAAGAAAAACGGATTAATTACTGCGTAAATTTTGCATAAACGACCAACTAGAGCTATAAGTTCATCATGGTTGGAATAACTTTTCGGAAGAAAACCTATACCATAGTGCACCTGGAAACATACACATTTTATAAAGAGTATCAGGAAACCCATAGGATGAAGGTGCCCCTAGAGACATTTATCTCATTTTGCGTCTTCAAGTATTGTCCGAGTACCTTTATTGTGTTAAGATTCGTTCCAGTAAAGCCAACACCAGAACAAGCAAAGGCAGCGGTTACTTTAGCTGAAGAGAACCTTGTTTATATGATAAATGACTATGAAATACCATGGCCAGTGGCATTATGCGTTTACCCAGTTATTATGAGTGATGACCTCATAGTGACTGGCCTCTGTGCAGTAGCTAGACATATTTCTTTTTTTAGAACATGTGGTAGGATACCCGAGGAACATGAAGAAGGGTTACTAGGTTTCCGCCATAGTTGCCTCCAAGCACCAAACGAGGTTTCCATCTGGACGAAATTCTGTGAAATTGATATGATAAAGGCTATGCAAGAAATAACAAATGCTGAGGAGTTAAAAGAATTACCTAAACATTTGGTAAGGTTTGAACATCATTTAAGGAAACCCGTCAGAGTCCATAACATTTATAAAGTTGCACGAAATATTAAAAAAGAAAGTTTGAAAGCTGAGCAGCAAGCCAATGCAGAGGGCAAACTAGCAGGTGATTGTGGAACTAGTGGCAGTGGTGGTTCACAGGCAAGCACCAGCAGTATTGCACCCGCAAGCAGTAGTGGTAGCCTGCAATCTGTCAGAGAAGAAGGATCTGCTGAAAAACCAGACAAAGACGAGCAGCTGGTATCATCAGCTGTACCATCTGTGGAAACTGTGGTGGACAAGGCAGATGTTACAAAACATGATGGTAAAGCTAATGAACAGCAAGCAACAACTGGTCAACCAGAAAATGCAGAACAACAAACATGTGCTGAAATACTTGAAAGTAATAAACAGATCACTACAGAGAAATCATCAAATACTGAGGTACAAGCTCTCAGTGATAAACAGAATTCCAATGAAACTGGTGAAGGTACTTCTGCTGCACAGAGGACTGCTAAATCAAGGAAATGGAAATCTCTCAGAAAAAGAGAATGCCTCATAGAAAGTACAACAAAAATAGAAGACCTACAAGTAAATCATGAATATGCTGAGGGTCCATTCTTGACACTAGCAGATCTTGTCCTCTTGCCAACATACCATGTAATTGTTCAAACTATAGGAGAACAACGCTTTGAATCTCTCCTGCCAACTACATACAGATGGTACAAAAAAGTCATGTCCTTACAAAAAGTACAAGAAACATTTGTTTGTTACATGGATAAGTTTGATATAAAACAGACTACATCACAAAATATATCTTTGCCCACCTCTGAAGATGTTAGCCTTTACAAAACTGATCCTAAAAGGCATAATCCCAGAAAGAGGATATACACTAGGGAAGAAGACATAGAAACAGCTCTTAGTTTCATTAAAGAAGGAATGGAATTACCCATCTCTGATAATAACTATGAACCTGCATTTGAATGGAAAGATATACCTGAACATGCAAGTCCATATGCAGGCTTTTTACCTGACACAAGAGCCCAAAGAAAATCACAGCAATTAGAAAATTTGGTTCTAGCTGTGCTTAAAATTGCTACGGATGGCGATGTCATTGTAGATTTTTGCTCTGGAGGTGGCCATTTAGGAATCCTGCTTGCATACCTGCTGCCACGATGCACTATAATATTTCTGGAGAACAAAGTGCAATCTCTGTTTACAGCCAGGGAGAGAATCCAAAAGTTGCGAATCAATAATGTATTTTTTTTCCAGTGCAACTTAGATTTCTTTATTGGTGAATTTGACATTGGAGTTGGATTACATGCTTGTGGTATTGCTACCGATTTGATTCTGGACAAATGTGTGCAGGCAAAAGCAAAATTTGTAGTCAGTCCTTGCTGCTACGGATCACTCCATTATACAAATAGGTTGATATATCCAAGGAGTAAAGCATTCTCAAGTGTGCCCATCTTGAATTACTTGTGTATAGCCCATGCAGCTGACCAAACGCACAAGGAGCATCCATTGGCTGTTAGAGGCGCCAGATGTATGGCCATCATTGATTCAGACCGAGCTCGCTTGGCTGAGGAAATGGGATACAAAGTGACACTCATGAAGCTGAAGCCTCCCACATGTACACCTAAGAATGATTTGTTAATAGGAATACCACCAGAAGAATAAATAATACAAAACAAATTATTAACAGATCATTTATTTTATTAACAGTTTTTAAAAATGTAGAATTAATACCTACTTTAACAATAGCATTTTTTCAACCTCTCCCCAAATCAAAAGTTTCGAAAAATAGCAATTTCAATAACACACTTTAGAGTCAAACAAAGTTCAACTGGTTTAAAGCATTATCATTGGCTTCAAATTGTAATACTTTTATATCAATATAAAAGTAAGAAGTTTTCAACATTGTATGTGGATCTAATCCACTCTGGCGTAGACTACAGCTGTGCGGCATGGGATGTATATCTGAAATGAGATAAATAGATATACTACTGAAATCTAGTCAATAATATTGATACAGATAAAATAAAACTACATTGAAGTATGGGTATTTAATGATCCCTACATAACGTCGCAAAACCCACGAAATAAAAGTATTAGTTAGCCTATTAGTGTGGCCATAAAGCGCAAATAAATCTTCAAGTTAATGATGGAACTTAGGCATTTTATACTGAATTTCAAATGGGAACACAAATGAAAGAAAAATATGGACTGCTATAGAATCTGAGAATATTTTGAGAAAGATGTTTAATTATAGACTTTATTATTAAATGTTTGATGTTTCTATATAAAAATTAAAAATATATTTTGATGTTGATGTTCCTTGTTATAGAAAGCCAATTTGATTACAAAAAAGATAACTATAGAGACAAGGTATAACTCGACTAAATTAAAGCCACGCCTGGGTCTCGTAATCATTCGACTTTAACCGCATCGGTTGTCATGCGTCTTATCCAAGATTATGGGCCCCGGCATTGCTCGAAATTCGTCGAGTTATGTCGAGAGTAAAAACAACAAAAATAGACTACTGCTGTTAATAATGTGTATAGTTACAGATATTATGGTCGTAGATTCTAATTAAATTGATGTTTATTAGGAATGTTTAATTGATGTTTTAGTAAGCTTTTAAGTGTTTGTATCAATTCAAATGAAAATTAGGTAATATCTGTATTAAATGATTATATTTTTGACTGGTGATTCTGTTATGATTTGTTATCTAAGATATTTGTCGTTATTTTAAATTGAGAAAAACAATTTTATTATTTTGTTGTGTCTAGACAATAGGTACAATATTCCTTATATTATTAGCTCAATTTTGTTAGATAATAATATCTAAAAATTAAGCAAATATGAACATTAATGTATGTTAACATGAATTTTTGTACATGTATTAGAATAGAAAGTTTAAACTTGTTTCATCTATTATATTTAAAATGGCGATGTCAAGTCTAAATCAGCCATCTCCATTCTAAATTTTCTAGATGTTCGTAGAAGCTGCTGTTTCCACATGACACTGGCAGTATAATCAACAACTAAACAAATGAAACTCAGTTAAGATAGAAAATCTATTAAAATTGTAGGCTAGCATAATGTGCTGCCTTTACCTACATTCATATATTTCTAAATTCACTTAAAAATATGTTCCTGAGACAATAAAAGGATTCTATGCTATCTGGTAGTGTCAATTGGTGTAACATTAAAATAAGATTGATGGAAATAAATGGTTTGAAATGTTTATTACCTGTATTGAATCATTTCTGTTTGCCCACGGATGTTCCTGCGTGAAATGGAAGTCTCCGTACGGTTCTACGCGACCGAAGCCGCCATATTTCTTGCTATCTGAGCATAGTACAGCCTGAGGAGGAAATATTTTTGTCTGGTTTAATATTTTTTTTATCGACGACTTACCTATGTCAAACGAGTCTCTATCATCATTATAAGATTTTGATATGTACCTAAACATTGTGTCCGTGTGTGATCAATGCATGGATCAGTCAGCGTAGTTCCGTGCGGGAGTTGAACCTGCAGCGCGTTATTGTATGTGATAGGACGGGAAACGAGTAGACGGATTACCTAGTGGCAAGCAATCAGCGCCGCCCATGGACACCCGCAATTACGGAGGAATAACAAGTGCCTTGGCGACCTTTTAGTGATTAGGGATTTGGAGATTTTGGGATTGGGGAAGGATTAACCCCACTCACAGACGAAACATAATGTAAGTGTTGCTTCACGCTGGTTTTCTGTGAGGCCGTGGAATAACTCTGGTCGACCCGGCTCATTCCTGCCGAAGCATGGCTCTCACACACTAAAACAACTTCGCACGGCAGCCGGTTTCGTAGCCACGGCGTCTTTCGTCTAACAAGCCGTCCACAGCTGGACAGCTAGGTAACACAAAGGTCAAAGGTAAGTCTACCCTAGTGACTTCGGGAACTATCTGTATCCAGCCACTTTCTGAGACACTCTTATGAGTTTTTCTGCATTTCGTCCAACTAAACCCTAATCTTCGTGTTTCGGAAACCATACCTGATATTTGCCAGGTACGTCGACGCCGACCCTGTAGTCTGTGAAGCTCTGGTAGGGATGGAAGTTGAACACGAACAGTAGGCCTGCGCGCTCCGCAGCTATCACCTTGTCACCTTCGTGCTTACATGACACGTATGCCTGGGAATAAACTTCTACGTTAGACTGGCTATACTAACTTTTTTAGGGTAATCAGTTGAATTGATATGGAATTGGTAGGTGCCTACGTTTAATCGGTTTCGGTAAATTACTAAATATAACCAATCTTGGCAAGTCTTTTTATCTAAGCTGGCTAAATATGTATGTAAAATTATTTACAATTAAGCTAACATAGATTTAGCTTTTCCTTTTACTTATCTAAATCGACATTAGCTAAGTTAGGTAGTTATCTAAATCGGTGTTAACTTAATTAAAATAATGTTTGTATTAAAATGTTGTTTGTATTTATGTATTTTATACGGCTTCTTTTTTATAAAAAGACTTAGGTACTTAGATTGTTGAATTAATTTATTATTTACTTTTCGCTTCTTTACTTATATATATATAACAGTTTATTATAGGTATAAATGACACATTTAAAGGTCGCTGTTGAGTAGCTTAATAATTTTTGTTAAATTGCAAAAGTAAGTAATTAATTAATTTCTTGAATGTAGTTTTTATAACAATTACGCATAGGTATGTGTACAAACCGGTGCTGTGCTGAGCCATCCATATTTTTCCTCGAGGTCGTTCATATCCTTGTCGAAGTAGTTGAGGAACTTGTACTTGAGGAGCTGGTCGTCGACGAGGTTCCACTGGCGGCGCGCGTAGTGGTACGACGAGTTATTGCCCGCGCGGGGGAAATCCAGCCACTCGGGGTGACCGAACTCGTTACCTGAACAATTATGTAAGGATTCAATCAGTGTATCAGTTCTTCAAATACAACTAGGTGATTTTTTTATTACTAAAATAACGTTGCCCAACACTAGGATTTTCTCCTGTGTCGTGGATGCGTTTACAAAAATATAATTTCACATACACATCACACCCAGACCCGGAACAACAATTTTTGGATCAAACAAAGAGATGTTCCGTGCCGGAATCGAACCCGCGACACGTTACGCGGCAGCCAGTTGCCCGATTACCGCGCCAACCGTGCAGTCATAAAATATACGTTTGCACTTAAATTGGAATTTTGGATCTCAGTGTAGTTGAGCCAAGATACAATACGAATGGGCTGACTCGACCAAAATAATACCACGGCCTTAGTGATGCTCGGCGGAAACCAACGCTTGGTTAGGTCCAATCTTCCTTTATCCACAACAGACCATCCTTAAAAGACCGGTTAGTAATGGTGTCCATTCAAGAGCGCCGATTGCTTACCATCAGGAATGCTCATTAATGAAAAAAACGAAGCAGATGAAGAATACGGTTGCAAGTGCAATAATGTACTGTGGCCCCGATCAGGAGCAGCAGAAGGAACAGAGGTTTTTAGTCAGTAAGAGTCTGGCACTCCCTCTCGTGGGACCCAGGCTAGGAGAAGTCATTGAATGATTACCCCTATAACGAAAAATCCCTATACAAAACTAGTGCTTTTAATATTGCATATAATTTAGTAGTAGACTCACCAATAAAGTTGAGATACGCCTCCCCTCCGAGTGCGTGTGTGATGAGTCGTATCATGCAGTGCAGCGCGAGGCCGCGCTCTATGACGGCGCTCGGCTCGCTCAGTGTCGACATGTGGGTGTACATACACGCGTCCATTAACCAGAAAGCTATTGTTTTGTCGCCTACCAGCGCCTGGAGACGAAGATTAAAGATTAACTTCATTATTAGGTACATAGTTGTTGAAAACCTTTTGTTGCGCATTCAAGGCTCAAGACACAATGTTAGGTCGCTGTCTTATAACATGGTCAATTGGTGGCAATTACTAAGAAAAAAATATTGGGCGTTACTAAAAAGTTGTTCACTACATATTCATCGAAATTTGCAATCTTTTCTAAGTACTTTTTTATTTACTTTAACTTTGGCCCTTACTATATTTTTCTCATGTGCCGGGGGTGCGTTTAAAAACATACAATTTCACATACACATCACACACAGATCCGGAACAATTTGTAGATCACAACAGAGTTGATTCGTGTGGGATTCGAACCCGCGACACGTTGCCCAGCCACTGCGCCAACCGTGCATTCATATTTACAAGGAATAAGTAATCAGAAAACATTGACACTAAGGCTTTTATTTTTAAATTGATAAAGTTTTCTGTATCTCACGGAATTTCGCGTTTCAGAGCAACACCTCGTACTTCTCCTTTTTTCCCATACCATGTGAAGTATTTATCAGGGATGTTGGGAAATTCCGTTACCGTACACGAATCCGAAATTAAAGTTTCGGATGATATCGGGGCGGAACCTAATTGAGAGTAAATACTTTTGAAATTCCTTAAAATATAAATTTCCGTAGCTGAATAATTATTTGAAACTAACTGATAATCCGAAATAATTTCATACCCTTAACCGAAATTATCCGAAACTAACGGATAATCCGAAATAATTTCATATCCGTATCCGTAACCGTATCCAGTATAATAATCATTCCTATCAGGGATGTTATGGATATAAAATTTCGGTTACGGATTGGATACGGATATAGGAATGATTATTATACCGGATACGGTTACGGATACGGATAATAAATTATTTCGGATTATCCGTTAGTTTCGGTTACGGATATTACATTTTTAATGAATTTAGTGATAAGTACGAAGAATTTTACTGAAAGTAAAATACTACTAATACTATGTTGTGATTTAAGGTGAAGTTTTAGCGATGTAGGTAGTCCCACCTCTTTGCCTTGAAAAGCTTTTACCACACTGTTTACATTTTGCGGAATCGGTCATTTCATCAAAAAACGACCAAACTGCGGTCGACTTAGGACGTATTTTGTACAAATTCAATCGAATCCGTAACAACCAACGCATTTGTCAAAGAAGAAAAATAAACAAACAATGCGCGAAGCTTGTGTGTCGGCAGTTCGGCACTGGCAGCGGCCGGCCGATCAAAACAACTTGTCATAACGTGTCTCACTTAGGCTCCGCCCTTATCCGATACTATCCGAAACTTTAATTTCGGATTCGGTTACGGTTACGGATGATTTTTTATATCGGATATCCGATAGTTTCGGTTACGGTTACGGAGCTCACTAACACCCCTGATTCCTATATCCGTCTCCAATCCGCATCCATAACATTCCTAATATTTATCCTAGATAAAATATTTCTGAAAAACTTAGTATCTATTAATAACAAAAAAATGCCAACCTGATCGTGGCTCTCAGCATATGCCACGGTGCCCTCCATCCACCTCCTGTTTGTAAGAGTGTGAACAATGTGACCCATCTTCCAGTCTTCATCCTTTTCTTCCTTCAGGAGTTTGATCCACATGTCAGGTATAGCCATACCCAGGCGGTAATCAAAGCCAGTACCGCCTTCGTTCACCGGTCTGCAGGATGCTGGCATGCCTGATACATCCTGGAATGAGAAGTAGGTTTTAAATAATATAGGATAAGTGTGGGAGAGACAAGGTTCGGCACGAATGGGTCGGCTCGACCGGAATGATAACACGGCCTTACAAAAAACCGGTGAAGCAACCACAGTGTTGTGTTTTGCTGTGTGAGTGAGGTTACCGGAGGCTCAATCCCTTTCCCTACGATATTCGCTACAGTTTACAACTATTTCTAGGATTTACACCAGTACCTATATATTTAGAGGGCGCGCGCAGTACGGACACGATCGGTAAATTATTGAACTTATTTTTTCATTACGACTTAGGTTAGAAAACTTTACGATTATACACCATAACAAAGCTGAGAATATGGGTAAAAATTATAGCGTATTTTTGTCTATAATATGGAAGTATTTTTAAGTCAACCAATCACAGTAGTAGTAATAGATTTGAACGACGTAAAGACGGACATCAGGCATGCCGCTTATATTCCGACATTGTAACTAATTTGACGTGTAAAAGTGCCGTTTTATGGCCTATTAGCAAAAATAAATTTATTTTATTTTATTGTTTCATAACAACATCGGATGCAAATCTCTTACCGCCTTGTGTGCATAAGCCACTTCGTGGGTCAATAATATGAATAAACCAATTTAATAATTTTCTTACCTCAGCAATAGTGAGAGCCCTGCTATCGATCCTGTGCACCATCTCGTTGGCCAACATCAGGTAGACCAGAGCCTCTGTGTCCACATTCAGGCCGTAGTACTCGTCGTAGTGGCCGGAGAAACCCTCGCCTATACCGCGCGAGTGGTACAGCATTGACGTCACACCATCGAATCTGAACAGAGAAATGGGGGGGGATAAAAGAGGAAATAAATAACTGGAGCGTCTTAAGGAAGCCTTATATGACTGAAGGATTTACTGACTGCATGGTTGGCGCGTGGCTGGGCAACTGGCTGCTACGCTACGTGCCATGGTTTCTATTCCCGCACAGAACTAACTCTTTGTGTGATCCACAAATTGTTGTTCCGGGTCTGGATGTGTGTGTATGTGAAATTGTATGTTTGTAAACGCACCCACGACACAGGAGAAAATCCTAGTGTGGGGCAACGTTTTTTTTTAAACTATTATTATTTATTACGTTAGTTGCAGGGCCTGTTCCTCAAACTTTTTTACGGGAGAGAGACGGAAACAGACTTTTCTTTAATTATGGTAGTGAAACAAACCCTATAGGTTATATGAAGATGATGATCGAATCAACACTTTGGAAACGAGCACCTAGCTTCACTGATGAACAGACTGACAGAGTATTATTCTATTTTGTCGTTCTATTAAAACCTCTTTATTGTTTAATCGTAAAAAATGATTTTAACTTTGATAAGTTCTTACCTGAATCCATCAAACTGGTATTCTTCTTGATACCACCTCAGGTTTGAGAGAAGGAACCTCAACACTTCAGTCCTGGAAGCATAAATTTACCAAATTAATTATGTGAGTCCAATATTCTATTGTTTAAGCTAACGTTTAAATATAATACAATTGGTATTTTACAATAATTTATTGTTCGAAGATAGGTAGATTATATGGCATCATCCTTCAGAACTTACAAAAATTGTTATTTCTTTTAATAACTTCACTTTTACTTATTTACTAGCTACTCTCGCAGTTTTATAGCCTATGGCCTTCCTGAAAAAATTAACTAAACCAACACAAAAAAAATTTCAAGCCGAAACAGCAGTTCTGGACATAAGCGCGTTCAAACAAACAAACTTTACAGTTTTAACAATGAAACAATGAACACACAATATTAATATAAGCATAGCATAGCATATTTATCTTTCGAAGGATCCTTATACAATCTTTTATTGTCTTGAAACTCACTCAGAATAGTTGAACAGCCTGCTGTCCCAGAGCTGATGTGTTCCTCTAGGTCCATCATGGAAGAAGCATGAGTTTGTGCCATCAAACTCGTTGAGACCGTCGAGCGTGTTCTTGGAGGCGTGGGAGTGCACCACGTCGAGGAGGACGTAGAGGCCTAGTTCGTGGGCTCTGTCGATCAGCTGCTTTAGTTCACATGGGGTTCCATAACGACTGGGAAAAGAAGAATTTAATTTAAAAGATTAAAGTAGATTTTAAGGATCCTGAATAATAATCAGTGCCTTCAATAGAACTAATTAGTAAACGGAAAGGGGAAGAAAGACTGTTTGTACAGGGGATTCTAAATGGATTTCTATTTGAGCAAACTAGGCAACCTTTGGCAAGCTAACCAAATTTAACCAACCGCTGCATTTTTGTAATTGTACTATTAATTTATTTACCTGCTCGCCGCATAGAAACTTGTGACTTGATATCCAAAGGAGGCGTAGTACGCGTGCTCCATTATAGCCATCAGTTGTATTGCATTGTAACCTGGAATACAGAAACTCATTAGGAATACTTAAAACTAGCGGCTCGCGGGCTCGTAAAGTTTTCACTCGAATACTATAATATTCCTGAACTTTTCCAGAGAGATTATCATTTTGATTTCAAACAAAACCTTTTTTAAATAAGAAAACTTCTTAATTTAAAAACGCCCACCTTTTAGACTTTTTGAAATGGACCTTCAGACAAGACAAGACAGGATTACTACATAGTAGGTACCTATAAAAAGTCGCTTTCTCTGTCCTACATGCTTAAATCTTTAAATCTACGCAACGGATTTTGATGCAATTCTTCAGTAGATACAGTGATTGAAGAGGAAGGTTTATATGTATAATAACATCTATTAAATAGTGGAGAAATTTATTCTCAGCTTTGCAACTGTGCGAAGCCAGGGCGGGTCGCTCTATACATAAATCTGTAGTACTCACCCTGATTCTTAATCCTAGGAAGAACATTATCTCTAAATTCGTTGTATGTGCCGACTTTGCCCTCCGGTGTGGCGATGCCCACGTGGCACTCGTATATGCGGGGAGATTTAGGCTTCGCTACTTTCGGATGCTTGAATTGGTACGGCTGGAATAAAAGTATTCAAGGTCATGGGCGAGAAATGGCAAATATTTGTGAGGTCTAACGTCTTAAAGGGCCCTTTAAAGATGGTATCATGATTGTATTGATGGGCATACTTATCATCTGATTATAAGCAATCGGCGCCGCCTGCGTTGCCGACCTCTAGGGGATTTGAAATTTTGAGGATTTTGGATTTAGAAATTTGATGACCTCATCCTCACGAAGAAACACAACTCTGTGGTTGTTTCATGCGTTTGTTTTGTGAGGCTGTGGTATCACTTCGGTGGAGCCGGTAATATAATACAAAAAAGGCCCTTGATCTTTTTCGCCTTAATTAAAAAAGCAATAATGTCGAAAACGTATTCACTAAAGAATTTTTTAGTTTGGGTTAACTTTTTTTTTGTAAGGGGAAAATCATCAAATGACTTCTCCCGCCCAGGGTAAGGCGAGAGGGAGTGTCAGACTCTTACGGAAAAACCCCGGCAGTGTGGGTTAACTTGACATACAATTTCTGTAGAAATAAGCAACACAAGAACTCACTTGATCTGGTCTGTAAATGAACTGTTGGTATGTGAACCCTTCGAATGGCTTGACGTAGTTCGCCCATGGAGACAGTCGGTACAAGTTATCATTCACTATAAGCTGGACACGGGACTCGTGTTTCAGGGGACAGGACCCGTCCTGATTGGCTGGTATCGTTAGCTCCCATTTACCAAACTCTAGTTTCTTGAATGGATGACTTTTTGAGTTCCAGCCATCTGTAAATGTTGAATAAATTAAAGAGTTAGTTAGGTAAGTATTTATTTGTGACTATGTTTGTAATAGCCGGGTATAGTTACACATATAAATCAAAGCGTTTTCTGTCACAATATAATCTGTAGATTGATATAAATTGTATTTAACGGCTCGCCTGCACACAGATATAACCAGAGGTTTCCGTTGTGGAGCCATACGTTATGAAGACATAGGTAGGATCGTTTTTAATTTAAGTTCTATTGATTTATATGTATAATTTGTAATCGGTGTTTTTTTTTGTATAGTATAACTAGTAACTATGTACATAAATTTATTGAAAATCGCGACTTACTTAACTTAAGAAACCAAGCGCAGTTAATTAGTACCTATAGTAATCTTTTGAATGGAGAATAATTTTCTTGTTGTGTCTTCTCAATATGAAACTAAGCTTTCTCTTGTTCTAAAGTGCAGAAATTCAAATGTTCAACTTAATTTCTGGTGGTACATAAATTACACGTCATTCTTTGAATGTGTGATACCAAACCCAGAAAGTAATTGGTAAGTATCAACTTTTTCGGGTATTGCCTACCATTCGACATTTACCAACGATTACCAAGCACTGCCATCTTCAATCGACTTCAACTTTCCATCTTTTCGACACAAACAAAGGATTCAGTTTTAGCATGTTATATGATCCACGCATAAATATAGTGTTAGCGTAGGTACCTAAATAGGTATGCTTTACCACGCTGTAGATTAGATTATAACAAGCTATATTGTATAACAACGGGGTAAGCATAAATTATATAATTAAAAGTGATAGGCCACAGGCTTATCACAAACAGCGATATCTATCACACTACGTTTGGATGGACAGACAAGACACATTTTAGATTAATCTGAATATATTTAGCTTTTTTTATGTAATAGGTCGGCAAACGAGCAGACAGATTACCTGATGGTAAGCAATCAGCGCCACCCATGGACACTCCCAACGGAGGAGTTACGAGTGCGTTGCCGACCTTTTAGAGATTAGAGATTTGAGGATTTAGGGATTGGGGAAGGGGAAGGATTGGGCCTCCGGTAACATCACTCACGCGAAACACAACGCTGTGGATATTTCACGCCGGTTTTCTGTGAGGCCGTGGTATCACTCCGGTCGAGCCGACCCATTCTTGCCGAAGCATGGCTCTCCCACACTTTAGTTACTGAATAAAGACTTGGAAAATATATGACATCTAAACCGCTTACAATACCTTATACATTTCTAGCCCTACCATATATACATTTCTAGTCAATTGAGTTTGGGACCAACTTGTTTCTTTAAAAAGCAATTGAGTATTTTATTGATTGAATTGACGTCCGGAAAATTAAATTCAAACTCTATACACGGGCCCACAAAGTTCCAAATCCATGCAATGTTCGCTTATTGCCCCATTTGAATACCGAACTAGTTAATATTGAGAGCGAGCGTCGCCATTAGTCTATTTTAGGCGAGATTGCACTTAGGATGGTTTAGTGCATTTTATTTGAATGTAACGAATTAAGTAAGCGTCTGGATTCTAACCATCAAAAAAAAAAAGGAGTTTGAAACCAACTATTTACTTTGAAAAAGACACTATTCCAAAAAGTAATTTGATGAAAATGAATCGAAAAAATGTTCGTAAAACGTATTAATTTACAGAAACAAAAATCAAGCAAGAAATGCTAAGAAATTGCAAACAATTTTGTGTGGTTGCCCTACATTAGATTTTTATCCTGTTTCGTCGTTTACTTGGCCCAAAGTAGTTGTTCGAAGTTTAAAAAAAGTCTTACTAAATTCTCCTTGTAAATGTAGACTGTGAGCTCCCGGGGCCCATTCTCGCCAAGTAACTGAGCCATCGGAGTTGAACTGCGGCCCGAAATATTTGTACCCCTTTGTGAACCCATCGAATCCTCCTTCCCAGGATTCTATCCTGTCCCAGAGGTCTTTGTAGCATCCATATCTGAAATGCAGAAGAATTACTACATTAATGGCTATATTTCCTTAATCAACCTTATTTTTCTGTGTGAGCAATATTTTTCTAGCAGTGAGACAAATATAGGTGATGAATGAAATGATAAATTCCAAAGATAGCAGACGCAGTAGTAGCTAAGTTCCTAAGATAGATAGACTGGCAGCTTTTTATAGTGTAAGAAAATCATGGAATGTCTTTTCGAGATTTCGAGGTTTCCGAAAGCCCGATCAATGTTTAAATCAATTTAATCTCTTGTCAAGTCATCTGATTGGTTGTTGATAATTCAGTCAACCAATCAGATGGCAAGAATGTCAGACTCGTAATGTCTAAAAATCACTCCGTTACTTCTACTGCTCTAGGACGAAGCCGAGGTATATTATCGCTCTTTAACCGCAACCCCGGCTGAACATCAACCCTATGGTGATATCGGTTATGGTCTACTTATTGAGGCTAAGCACTGTCGAAAGAATGGTAGCTGCGTCATCTAAATGTTCAGTGACCTTACCTGATCCCTAAGTTAGCAAGATAAAGGGCCAATTTTTTTAACCATATCGATCGCAATAAAAAAACCTTCAATCTTATGCATTTTTGTCCAAAATCAAGAGCAATCCAGAAATTTTGGATTCTGTTTGGCTATTTAGTTCATGTAGGAACAATGGCTTCGCAAGCTACCGCTACAAAGTAAGGACCTTTTTCAATAGAGGTCCTGACTATTTAGCGGTACCTAGCTCTACAATAACTAGGATAGGACATAGGACTGTAGTCCGATTGATGATGAATGGGGATTATTAGTATCAGGATGGCAATAACCAGATCCAGGATACAAGAACGTGATTAAGGGATTCTAAGGTAACTATTATCTCCTTTTGCTCTTCTGGATTGGGTCTGGACTGTTCCTATAGCTTACTAAAAATCAGCGTGAATTAGACCTATGCACCACTATCAGAATATAGCGGTTCTTATCCAGTGGTCCTTTTACTACGGGAGATAAATATATTATGGTAGTGTGTTATGATGATGAACGTATAGAAGACAAGCGATTTAAAAAGTATGAATGCCCGACATTTATTGTGTTCATTACATAGAAAACGAAAGGAATCAACATAATATTTTATCTTAGATATCATCGCATTTCTATTTCTTATGTTGTGTGCGCAGATAACGTTGTTTACCGTACCTAGTTTGTTATGTACATGTCTAATTAAACCGTTAGATACTAATAATACCTAGGTACCTATACAGAAGCTGCTTTAGCTATTGCATTTTCATGTTAATTATTACGCTGATGGTGTGTATCTACATACATACGAACTAAATGCTACTTTAAACGAGCAGGAATGTTTACTTAGGTAAGTATTCAAATAGGTAAATACCTAACCGTAATTAATGAGCGAACAATTCGGTTATAAAATATTCATTTAGGGGCGAAGTTAAGTCTATGCTATAAACTTAGGATAGGACGGCAAAGAGCAAATAGGTACCTTCATTTAAGTATCGAAGTTACAAAGTATACAAAAAAGTTATCCCGTACCTATTCCGATATCACTTGACCTTAGGTTTGACATTGGGAGCGTCATAACGTGCTTTAAGCGCTTGCAGCGCTAAATGAGCACAGGCAAAATCAATGAACTAAAATATTAACACAGAAACAGGTGATTGTTCGATTAAGAGTGGAAAATTTTAAACTACAATATTCTAAATACTGGTTTTTAGATTATTACCTACCTTTAAATGAGAATAATGTTCTTGTATGATAGAAAATATAAAGCGCTTCAGCGCTGTTATGTCAAAAAATCGTAAACACGGTATGTTAACCTTAAATTGAAGCAAAATATCGCTTTAAACACTGTTTTCTTTCAGTAAACTCACTAAAAACATACATAAAACTGTATAAGAAACAATAAAGACTTACCTGCGACGTATTTCCTTTTCGTACGGCTTCAAGTAACCATCACGTTCGAATAATTTCGCTATATCGGGGACGGGTACTTCCATCGGGTCCATAGCTGAATAGTTACCTCCCATTATATCTATGTATAGTTGCTTATTTGTCAAACCGGTACGAACTGCGCAGGCGCCAAACAACCGCGCGAAATGATATCTCCAGTTTAAATGATAAAATAGTTGTTCGATTTTATTATGAACTGTAGACAAGTTTATAATAATTTAGATAAAGTTCGGGTCACTAGTGGCACGCCAGACTGTTTCATGGATATCATTTGAGTGTTCACGGTTAAAACATTTATTTATTAAAAGACAACATCGATCTCATTCAAAAAACATTCTTTAATGTCGTGTTACGTTATCAATGAAGTTATTGAATACTTACACGTTTTTTATTTGCAGTAAATAAAATGATTATGTACCTAACTCAACCAATACGGTTTACTATTTGAATTAAATGAGCACCGCCGACTACGTAACGATTATTTTATGTCTACCTTACAATAATAAAAACGGATACGTGTGTGTGTATCTACATTCATTTTTATTTACCTAACACAAGTGTGCAGTTCATTAATATTAATTTATTACCTATACATGCTTATTGCCTTAGTCTTGATCGTGTGGTCACCCCTTGGCAACCTTGCCTTTTTCTATATATTTCTGAGGGGGACCATCATCAAAAGAATTCTCTCGCCGGCGGACCACGAGGGAGCGTCAGACTCTTACTGACTAAAAACCATCCTCATTCCTTCTCCTGCCTGACCGAGACCGCGGTATCTATAAATAGCCCAGCAACCTAGGCTGAATTTTCTACTTCCTCTGACAACTATACCGAGAGTTTTCGAATCGGTTCCCCTACCTTACAGTGTTAAACTCCTCCTTTATAACTATACTCTTTGGTGTTAAAGCTTGAAATACTCAGTATTACCGTGTGCTAAGTAAGGAATTAAAATGGATGGTTGCACTGGTAGCTAGGTATTTATATACGACGTAATATGTCTAGGTATGTTTTTGGCCAAAATATGACTTCTGCTAGAAGAACCAACACGTACAGAAGTGCCATGCATGATCACTGAGTTTTTGAAATAAATAAATTAAAATTCATAATTTGTACTTTCTTTGGCTTATAAAACTTTTCAAGTCTCTCATCTGATTTGTCTACTGTCTACCTAGCTAAGAGTTCTAAATCTATACAAATGCGTTAAAGGTTAATAATGTTATCTCATAATTATTATCTTCAATTTGTATGCAAGTAAAGAAGCTATCATAAAGCTTGGAATAGTCAAGTCAATAGAATGTTTTTGTTTACTATGCACCTTCCGATAAGAAAAGTCATGGGCCAAGTCATTGTAGCACTATGTACTGATAAGAATATTATAGTAATTGCTGATTTATTTATTCTAGTTCCGTTTGCAAAAAGTGAGAGCAAGTTTGTATATGCATTGGACCTAAGTTGAGACCTTGAGGTATCCCATCTTTGATTGAATAGAATAATATGTTTCATCAATTTAGTAGTTACTCTAGGTCACAACTAGTGTTTTGATTAGGCTAAGGAAAATTTTATTTCAATCAGGCTGTGTACATACAGTTATTACTTTACACCTAATAATTACTGATGCCATAAAATGGGGTGAATGGACTTTGAGGGGTGAATAGATATTGGCAAATTTTCTTAGTATCTATTCACCCCTCTTCAGTGTAAATTGACCCTGTTTTTTTCTCATGTTCCAAGGATGGCTTTTCATCAATTTTCAAGTGAGCAACACATAATTAAAAAAATAAAAAGTTTATCACAAATGTTATGCGAAAGTTATGAACAAATGTGTCATTTGTTAATATTTATAGTAGCAACTTTCAATAGGGACTACAGAATATTTTGAATGAAACTTGTAATAATAACTGTATGCTACTCTTATATTTACTACATAAAAATATATTATGATTGCCAAACTAAACATGTATACAATAAAGTATACACATCACAAGAAAACTACATAACTATTATAGTCTACAGAGAAATAATACAAGGCATATTGACAACAAATTAATAGGATTTATTCAATAATCTTATCTATTTAAAGCTAGACTACACAAGTACTACAATGTTTCAAAATATATCTGAGCCGGTTCTCTTAGCTCTGCGGACAGCTTCATCAGGCTGTAATTTCTCATCCTCTGATGGCTCCAGAGGGAATCCTTCTTCATCTAGTTTGCCCTGCTTGAAGTCTGTAACGATCTTCTTACTGTACACAGCGTCAAACAGTTGTTCGGGAGTGAACTCGCTTTGAATAACATCAGCAGCTTTGTACGACACATACGGCTTCAAATCAAAATCTTTCAAGTCGGGTACGATAAGTTCGGGTATCATTTCAGGTACGGTAACAAAGCGGCCATCCAAATAATACCCTGTATCGCGAACTCCTCGCTTATCAATGTCTAACTGTCTATTTTCAGTCTGCTGCTGCAACCGATGCAATCTTGAACCTCTCTTGTTAGGGATCACGAATTTCCTAAAGTTTCGCTTGCCTTCCCTAGGAGCTGATAAGGATATGCTCCTTTTTGCTACAAAATTTATTAAATTCGTCACCTTAGACATTTTATTTTGTAATCTTTATTTATTGTGTTAGGATTTTCGTCGAAATTTTTAGGTTATGTTAAAGTCAAAATACTCAAAATGACACTAATGACATTTTGATTTTATCATTTGTGTTGTCGAATCGATAATTTCCGAAATAGGTACGGTTTTTCACCAGGTAATTGCAAGTAATATAAACTCGTTTTGTACTTCCAAAATATCACCAAAAATTATCTTTACTCTTTTTTATATGCGCGCTGGGGCTTGTCGCCAGGCGAAACTCCTCTTCCGTGCTAGATTGGGATGAGCTCTAGCGCGATATCATGGCGGAGTGTAGGCTTCGTTTGACGCAACTGAGAGCCGGGCACGCTGTTATAGAAGCGGAAAGAGGATAAAGAGGAGTATCTTTGAGAAGTGGCTAGAGAGTCGCTATGATGTCCTCATCTGCCGCCTGACTTTTCGGAAGGTTTGTATCCAGCGGGAGAAAACGCCAACAGATATGGGGGCCTACTTGGACTGATGTTTAGCGGGGGAGGCGGGTCAAGGGCAATAATGTACTGCGACCCGGGCCAAGAGCAGAAGAAGAAAGGGGTGCTTCTCTGACACTGCCTCTCATCCCACCCAGGGCGGGCGAAGACATTTGATGATTTTTCCCAGTCAAAAAACCCTTCTTTATATTCTTAATAATAGCTACAAGGACATAATATGTACAACTTTGTTCTTTTACAAACTTAATTTATGATAACAGTTTATATTTTGTTGGTAACTAATTTGAAATTATTAATTTAACTTATAAATTAATAGTTCTCTCTGTTTTCAAATATCTTAAGCATCCTCAGTAAGCGTGGGAGAGCCACAGCCACACAAAATAGGAATTTAGACTCGACAGGGCTGATACCACTTCACGCAATACCGGTGTGAACTTACGTCCTGTTTTGCAGTGTGAGTGAGGTTACCGAGGGCCCAACCTCCTTCCTCCTATAATTTCCTATCCTCCAATGATACTAAGTTATCACGGATTGCGTGAAAGCAAATCACAAACATTCAAAGGGTTTAGGTATTAAAACAAGACATAAATTCGCATTTATATAATTTATAGTAAATCTATATACATAATAATTAATCATTTATTATACTCGTGGAACACCAATACAAGTACATACATCCAGAAAACAAAAGTTGTTTATTTATTATTTTTATTGCATCGCAAACAAAATTGCCATTACCCAATAAATAAAACAATTAATGTAAAAAGCTTATTCATAAGAACAGGCAAACGTAGGTATTTGATAGCGTAGCATCAGGGCAGCGTAAAAAGGGTCTGTGTATAGGGCCACAGATTATTAAAAAAAGGGAATAAAACCTGTTTTCATCAAGCAATGGCGCAAATGTAAGCACTTTGAAAATAAAGCTGCCGAAAATGTTTATACATAACAAACAGCCAAGGAACTTAATAACTGTGATGTCACATTGGAGTAAATATCGCGATTTACTTTGTACACAATATTCATCAATCCCTACATACCAATAAAAGAACAGCTTCAAAGTAAAAAATCTATTTACTAGATATCTAAGTTTTGTGCTCGCTCTTGAACACTATACCTAAAGACAGAGATGCCCAACCTTCATTTCATTTTAAAAGTAATTACACATTTAAAAAAGGAGTTAAATGACCTCAAGTCACGCTTTTCATACAAAAAGGTTGAGCACCACTGTTCGAGGGTGAAATTGGGCTTTTTAGTCATTTCAACTCTAATTAGCAGAATTATTAATATGGGGTTTCTCTAAACTGTTACATCCTACATACATATATTTTACTTGGCACTGTTTTATTGCAGTTAGCACCTTCATACTTTTACAGTTGTTCACGAAATAAACTGATGACAGACAAGATTACGAACAAGTGAGATTGTAAAATATACAATTGTATAATATCGCAACGAAAATTTGGAACCACTTTAAGTAAAAATACATTTGAGAAATTAATTGAGCAGTCCATTCAATGAAATCGGAACTAAAATTACATAAAACCGAACATACTCGAGAAAGACATAACACTTTACTTTTTTATTGTCCAAGGGAATGTCAAAAACAACGATTAATCGATATCAGTATCACATTAGTGGCTGAAAAAATAATTTAATAATTTTCCAGCCACATCGAAATATCGTTTCACACTCTATCTATTATAAAACACTACTCTCACATCAACAATTTCGTTGTTTATAAACATTAAAAACTTACATTTTAGAACAAGTGAATACATTTATTTGTCAAGAAGTCAATGAGACATTCAAAAGTCTAAAGCCTTTAAACGGTAAGGAAAATATACTGAGTTTGTCGAGCAATCTAACTGGTACTCGACATCTACGAAAACGTTACTCAAAAAACGTTAAATTCACACGCACACATACAACAAACATTGGTATTTCGCTTACACACAAATAAAAAAGTTCTTTCACGTTATTTGCTCAAAGTATGCCTATACCCTGGAAGGAGAACACTCAGAACTCTTCGATTAGTAGAACCTCGTTGGTCATGTGTCGACCGGTCTTTCGTCGTGGTGGTTCTGATCTAGATCCTCAAGGTTATCGCTGGATGAATGGGTAAGGTCGCTTAGTTCATCGATCTGTTTCTGTTTTTTTCGCACGTTCCAGTGCAGGCATTCTGCTAGTGAGTCGAACCAGTCTGAGATCTGATCCTGGGCGCATATCGAAGGTACAGGGTACACCGACGTCGTCACGTAGAGACTGTCAAGTAAAGAAAAATGATTAATATTTTGAAGTGGCGTAATTAAGTTGGTGGATATACATTTTATAATAGGTAACATTTTTCTTTCAAAATTTTGGTTGTTTTTATGCATACATATTATTTGTCATAATATTGTTTATTGACTTTCTTTTTCTTTTTATTGACACCATAAATATTTCTTATAAAAAAGGCGAAACAAAATGTTTTAAATTATCAGTGAAATGCTTATAAATTCCGGAATAAATCTTTCATCTATTGAACATGCATGATATAAAAAACTACAAACTTAGCACCAAAAATGTCCACGAGTGAACCAAAAAATCTACAATTCTAATTTTAAATAAATCAACACTATAAGGGGATTTCAAATCAGTTCAAACAACATATATAATACATAATACAATGACAAAATGAGTTAGTCAACAAATGTATAAAGACATGCAAAGCAAAAGCATTAAGCAAAATGTTAGAAGAATATTTTACATGCAATAAAATAACCTAAAAGTTTTTTTTTCTTTTGGTAGAAATAATATTGAAGTCCTTTCACCAGCATTCCTAACTACCCCAGCTTGAAGAACGATGTCTGCGACTGAATAAATGACTAGTGTAGTTTCCGTTTATGAAGGTCGATATGAAGGAGACGGCGTTATTTGAAAATTTAAAATTTTGATAGTATATTTCCTTTTCATTTGGTATGGTTGATATATATTTATTTAAAGCAAGAAATTACAAACAGTTTTAATTGCTAATCAATAAACTACTTTTTCATATTAAACAGTATTTTTTTGGTATTGTAAAAAACAGTGACATCTCAGGTATACGAATTTTCTATGAATTGTCATTTTGATACAATTTGTGCAGACTTATTGAGAAGAGTCAATCACTTGAAACAAAATAGATTATGACTGATAGCAGATTGCCATACATAATTACGAAACGAAAATTTGAACTAAGAATATTTTTTTTTTATAAAAAATATTAATTCTCTTTTCTTTAAAATGGAAGTTCAATTTTCTCTTTTATGATAGATGAACTTGAATGATTAGCCGTCTCCAGCGTAAAATGTAGTATGATGGGTGCGACTGTCTGGTTACCTATCGCCCGGCCTGAGGGTGACCTGGGACCGCCCGTCGAATGACACACTGGCCGCACTACGCGCTTCTAGGGTGGGCATTATCTGAAACAAGCCCGACCACCTCAACTCAATAGCTTCTAACAAAATAACCCTATTAGAGATATAGGGCAATATATCTCTATAAAACTAAAGAGGTATCAACTTAGTTTTGATAAAACTAAGTTGCGTTTCGTGGTCTATTTGAGTGTCGATAATATTCCTAGTCGTCAAGTTAGTAATATATATATATTTTTTTTGTAAAAATCTTATTACAATATTTATGTGACTATTATATTACACGAAATTTTATTATTTGCTGACAACACCGACGATCACGTATTACTCTTTATAGAATATACTTACACTTTTTTAAACTGTACACCTAGTCTTTTAATCCCCATATGACAAAAAACACTAAATCTTAATTACGACACAAAATAATGTTAAATAAACAAATTACGTTTAAGTACAAAACAACATAGTTCTAGATACATGGACATGCGGTATCTAAGCATGGCGGCGTGCATAGCGGACGGGGTAGGCAGAGTTCGCGGTACCTATCTCCGTGCTGCAACGCTTGTCTGCTGCGACCGTCGAACGATACCCACATGGCGTTTCTCGCTTCAGGAGACAGTGCGATCTAAAATGTAGCCGATCGTTTAGCGGGGAAAAGAATAAAAATATTATTCAGATAATTAAGTCAAAATCAAAGTGAAAATCATTAATTCCAACTAAACATAAGAAGGTACTTTTGATACGTCAAAATAGATTAAGTCTGTTAGTCTGTTCGTCAGTGAAGCTAGGTGCTGAATACCTTTTTAATTACTATTGGTGACATTATTTTTGGCAATTTCAATTAGGGGTCGCAAAAGTAATTAGCCACATGTGGTAAAAAATAGAGGATAAGCTGAATTCTAATTTTTACAGCAATTTTCTTTATGTCCATTTTTTGATAGGGACGAATCCTTTTTTTTAAATGGACTAAAAAAGGGATTTTTTTACATATTTTTCATCGAATTAAACAATGTGATTGCTGACCTGTGAAAACAGAGTGTTTTCTAAGCACTTCTAGTACTTACGCAACGAACAAAAAATTAAAATACGACTCTTGTGCATTTTACCTCCTAAAAACAGAACAAAAAAAGTGATATTGACTACATTATTCGTTGACTGCCTCATTTCACTTTCACAGCATTCAATAAAAATATAAAATTAGTTGAAATGGGCGGCTTACCCACGTGAATTATTCGGGAATAGCTCTACCATTTTCGAGTGACACCGGGGCTCATATTTCATTGCATCATCCTTGGGGCACGCTGTTAATGAATGACTATCTTGGTTGAGCATTGAAACTCGTAGAGCGTTTTCCGAACAGTTCACGTGAGTAAGTCCAACATATATTTAAATTAATTTTAAAATGTGTATATTTCAGAATTTTTTTAACAGAAATCACAAATATTATTATTACCTTGAGCTCCACTCCAGCGGGGACTACAATAGGTCTGAAGGACAGCGAGTGGGGGCAGATGGGGGTCACCATAATGGCTGGCACTGAGGGGTGGATCATACTCGCCCCCGCCGCTACTGCATACGCCGTGCTTCCCGTCGGCGTTGACACTATTAGGCCTGAAGAATGGAAAGTAATGTAAAAAACTTAAAAATGGTAAAAGAAATTTCTATAAACGTCCCAGTTGAAAAAGTTAAAACTGCAATCGCTCTAGCTATCTGAAGTGTACAAAAAACTTGCTTTGTAAGTCATTGAAATTAAAAAAAGTACAAATATGTATAATGAAAGAGTCGTAGGCCTTTGTGTATCCTACTTTCCTACATTTCGAATCACCAATCCCCCATTCTAGAAACCCGGTAACGCTTTTTTGCAACTACTCTGTTTTTTTGGTTAGGGGGAGACCCTCCTCGGCAATTCCATTACTTCATCCTTGCCTCCCATGGGGGATCGTGAGGGAGTATCCGACTCAAGGCAAGGTCATAATAATTAAACCAGAACCTACTCTGGTGTTTGCGAGTGTCCACTGGAGAGGTTATTTGTGTAGTAAAGACAACGACTCGTAAAGACAAAGAACCGAAATGTTTTTTTGGGCCAGAAATAGGTCATCTGGAATAATACAATTTCGACTGCGAACGAATCCGCTGCCAGTAGTAGTAAATATCAATTAAATCCTAATAATTCCTGCTAATATTATAAATGTAAAAGTTTGTGAGTATTTATGGATGTATGTTTGTTATCTTTCACGCGAAAAACGGCTAGACCGATTTGGTTGAAATTTGGTAGTACATCTATACTAATATTATAAAGAGGTAAAATTTGTAATTTTGTATGTTGGTAAGTTTGTGTGTAGGGGGTAATCTTTTTGAACCACCCACTGGTCGGATTCCAAAAATTCTTTCACTCATTTATAGCTAGAATGTTCCCGAGTGCTATAGGCTATAAAACATCACGCTAACATCAAATGGAGCCGAGCAGCAGGTAAAAACACGCGGCAGTACCTAGTAGGTAATACCCTGGATTACCACAAATCTTTTTGTCAACATAATCAAAAACATTTCAAACTGATTAAAGTATCTTACCATCTCCCTGCACGGAGGTTATATGCTTTCCATCCAGGAACAGGTCAATGTTGGAGAGGTACGGCGAAGGTCCTCGGTCCACCACCACCTCGTTCAGCACCAGTATGGTGGTAGGTTTCTTCTTCTCTTTACCATCTTTATCGTCCCTACTCTTGCGTAAGACTACGCATTGGAGACGTGATCGTAGCGTTAACGCTGCGTGTCCTGTAAAAGGAGATACTTAGATAGATTTTTTGGTGCACGTAAATGATATTATTTAAGTGTGGGAGAGCCATGCTTCGGCACGAATGGGTCGGCTCGACCGGAGTGATACCACGGCCTCACAGAAAACCGGCGTGAAACAACCACAGCGTTGTGTTTCGACGTGTGAGTGAGGTTACCGGAGGCCCAATACTTCTCCTTCCCGAACCCTTCCCCAATCCCTAAATCTCCAAATCCCTAATCCCTAAAAGGTCGGCAACGCACTCGTTACTCCTCCGTTGCGGGTGTCCATGGGCGGCGTTGATTGCTTACCATCAGGTAATCCGTCTGCTCGTTTGCCGACTTATTACATAAAAAAAAATATTAATTCAGAAACAGATATCACAAAAATGCCAAGAAATGCAGTTCTAAAGATCTCCACTACACAAGAGGTGCAGAGGTATCTCCAACCCACTTTGGACATCGGTTTTTTGATTAACTCTGTGGTATGAGTGCGTTACAAACATAATCCATACACCTGGAAAAGTTAGTGGATCACACAAAGAATTTTATATTTCTATGCGGCAATCGACCCATGATACGCATATTTATTTATTTATTATAAGGTACGCTCACAGCTTATGTATTCAAGTATTGGTTATAGGCATATATAGTTAAAGGTCATATACATTAGCCAGTTACGAGCTAACCAACATTCTAAAAATTATGGGTTTATACAGTCAAAATATATAGAAACTAAAACTAGAAATAATTAAATTAACATAGGTAGAACAACTATTATCATCATCTACTGCTAACCCTGTAGTAGCTTAGATGCATTTGTAATATAACAGGACCTTATTCTGTCATATAGGGATGCCTTACCTTCTAGAACGTTCATGACTTGGTCTTGGAAGTTGTTGAACTCAAACGGCGTCAGGAAACCTAGAGAGCCCAAATGGAATGCCATCACAGGAGGTACTGATTGCTGGAATCAAATATAACAAATATTAGTGACAAGACGCGGAATTAGTAGACGCACATAATTAGTTAAACGATTTGGAGTATAACGATAATACAAAAATAACACAAAATAAAGAATGTTGGTCTTTCAGCAGAAGCTGTTTAGTTTCCCAAATATATTATTATTATAGAATACTTTGAAGTTGAATATAAAATTCTAATTCTCTACTATCCTATTGATCAAAGCGTGATGTTTATCATTTTTTTAGTTAAAATATTCCCCCTTAGATGGACAATAATTGTTAAATTCGAACCAGTAAGTAGATCTTGAGATTAGCGAATTCAAACAAACCAAGAAAAATCTCTTCAGCTCTAAATAATATAAAAAAAATGTATATTAAAACTAACAACAGTGCGCATATTTTTTTACATACTTGGAACAATGAACTGGCATGTAACAGCGTGCCGTCTCCGCCCAAACAGATGATGAAGTCAATCTTATCCGTGAGGTCATCGGTGCCAGCCCTGAAGGTCATCAGCCGCTCCTTGACCGACGTGAAGTCTCCATACTCAGCCAGTAACCTGTCATCAAGCACCGCCGCCTCCACGAACACTACCATGCTTTTGTCCTGGAATTGATTAAGAATTTATAATTAACGAATACTGCTGTGTGATTCTGTAAGACTTCATTCTAAACTTCGAATCTGAGTCCGCTGTGAGTAGTAGTACACTAGCGCTACACTTGCGAGTTGAACTAAATTGACAGCAACATTTTGATAGATAAAGTATGAGATGACGTTAAAATTCTAAAATTTAATTTCCTCGTCACTTCGACGCTCACTTCGCACTCGAACACGATTCAAAATCAAACAAATTTTATAGAATCGACGACGTGCTGATCTGTTTTGTAGGGTTTTAAAGTTCTCAAGAGGCAAAGTTAGATAGGTATGGAAGAGCCATGCTTCGCACAAATAGGCCGGCTAAATTTAATTTAAGTAACGTCTTTTTCTTACATTTTGTCTATTTATTTTGGCCCCTTTTTTAACTTAAAATTGTACACAAAGTGTGTTAAATGTTTTTGAATTATTTTATTTAATTTTTGGGCCATATCTGTGCAAAATAAACGCGTGATTTTAGATAACACATGGATTCCACCTCTATCATACCAGACTTGGATATTATTTGTATGTATGAATTAAAATGATATACGGTCCTACAACGTAGGTACATATTATGTGCGTAATTGGCAAACGACCAAATATTTTGTAGATATTAATGTCCACAAATGCATCAATTCATGCCGCTAAAGTGGTTTTACCTTTTGTCTGACGGTACATGAGACACAATAGAAAACAGATTGTGTCTCGCGTATATAGCCGCGCTTGGGCATATCACTGGTTAAACTGTTTCACTGAAATTATATTTTTCTCCCCCCCCCCCACTCTCCTATCACCTCTCTTTCTTCTCTCTTTATCTCTCTTCTTTAAAAAAGATCATGAAAAATGTTTAACTTAGTAGTTTAACTTATGACCAGTTTTCTTTAATATTGTATAAAATTCAATCAATAATACGACACACCTACATACGAGGTACGACATATGACTAGCAGTCATTTGAAGGCCTTAATTTAACCCATAATTGTCTTGCGTGGGCTAAATAAGTCGTGGTAGCCCTTACTTAACACACAAATTCTCTATGAATATTTTATGTAGGTTAAATTCATAACTATTAAAAAATCGATAGAGCTTCTGTGGTTCTGTGATGTATTGTGTATGATTTAGACTTAAAACTTTCTTTAAATAAAACATAATGCGTCATTATACACTTGGGTACCACAGATGGGGCCAAACAGGGCTAATGTTTAGCCCGGGTCTTGGGTCAAGCTCAATAAGAATTAGAATCAGAATCAGAAATAATTTATTTGCCAAAATGTAGGTAACAAACATGTTGCTCTTAACTTTGGAGAGTAACGGTACATTTTGCCTTAAGTCTAAAACTGTTGTCTACTGTCTTGTTTACATCTAGTTAACATTTCTATAATTATATAAAATCAAGACACACATCGGTCGACATAGAATAACTTTTAACAATTTTAATCTAAATTAGCATTATATAATCATCATTATAGTGAATATACAATGGCTTTGGCCTGGAGCAAAACGTACGGGAGATTTATAATAAATAAGAGTCTGACACTCCCTCTCGCCATACCCTGGCCAAGAGAAGACATTTGATGATTATCCCTCCTCAAAAAGGGTGTATCTAAACGATATAACCTTGTGATAACAAAAAACCAAGAAGGAAAAGTCCTAAAGAAAACGATGAACATGAATCCCAAACGAGGCTTTGAAACAGTTGAACATTTTAGTTCCTCATCAAACAGGTGCAGATAAACTGTTAAACGCAATAATCTAATTATTTTAATATCATAAGTTAGAAATAGCGATCGTGTGTCTCTTATTGCATAAAAATATATCTCACGAGACTTATAATGGCTGACATTGTTAGATACACATAAAAACATTATATAGACATAATTATTACTTTCTACATGTGTCACAAGTTCCGCATGTGGAGTTAAGCGTGACGGACGACAATGTAACACATTTTTTTTCCGAACAAGTTGGTGTAGTTATTGTAATGCAATGTTTCAGTGCAAATGAATGGGCCACGTCGACTGGAGTCTCACCACGCCCTCCCAGGAAGCCGACGTGAAGCGACGCTTTCCTAATTCTCAAGTATCTCCATATTTTTTTTAATATCTTGTTAAGTGTTGTCAATTTCTAAGGGCTACGACGATTGATTTTGACTGCACGATTGGCGCGGTGGCTGGGCAACTGCCTGCCGTGCTACGTGTCGCGGGTTCGATTCCCGCACGGAATAACACTTAGTGTAATCCACAAATTGTTGTTTCGGGTCTGGGTGTCATGTGTATGTGAAATTGTGTGTTTGAAAGCGCACCCACGACACAGGAGAAAAAGAAATAGAAAAGATTTCCCCATCAGGTGAACCTACCAGGACACGATTGACTTGCATTCATCACAAAAAATATAATATTTTTAGTAATTCCGTTATTGGTCCTATGCGACTTACAAAGGACCAAATCTTATAGGGTTGTGCAGTGTAAGCCTAGAAGCCTAGTATTAAAATTTAGAACCTTTGATATGATGCAACAAATCTTGAATGAGGGTGATATGAAGTAAATAATGTAAAAATTATTAAAATAGTCGGGTTTCTTACTGACGTCGTTTTGACACGACATAAGTAGCACGACTGTCACGACTAACTTTATTATTGTATGCCTTTCTACACGCTTATAATCTGTGCAAGTTTTACAAGATTAGTGTAGGCACTTACCACATGTGTGCAGTTTATCTAATAGTGCATTAAAACCAAAATAAATTATCTGATAGACCGATCAAATCCTTTAGTTTTAAGTTAACAAAAGACTTTAAGATCTTGATTACAGATCGATTTTAACATTATTTGTATGTTGTATTAAATAATAAATTAAGCTCCCAATCATCACTGCAGTCATGAAATCAAAGCATGTCTTTCCTACACTTCGTGCGGTGTAGTATGCTATCACTTATACTGATCTACACATAAACATCGCCTGAGTCAATGTACCGCGAACTTTTGGCGTATGAACTATAATTAGGACGCAGTTGAATCACCTTACATTGAATTAGTATCTCTGTTACTGGATGAGACAATTGGTTTTTGGTTTCTATTTATTGTTGGATTAGGTAGTGTCCTTTCTAGGTAATGCGACAAAATTATGTTAATGTTTTAATTTGGGAAGTTCGTTTTATTATGTTTATGTTGTATTTTGAGAATCAGATATGCAGAAACATATTCGTCTTCTCAATGTCACAATAATAATACTAAAATACTTACTCTTACAACTAGTGCTCTTGTATTGGCTATTGATTATCTATTAATACTAACTACACACAAATAGAAAAAGGACCAAAATTAAATATACATATTAACACAAAGCTTTTAAAAGAATGACATTTCCGACTTTATCAGTTGTAGATAATTTAGCCCTTTCTTTTACCCTAATAGCAAATCATCAAATGCCTGCTCTCCCGTTGAGGCGAGACAGTGTCAGACTCTTACTGACTAAAAATTTTTAACCGACTTCAAAAAAGGAGGAGGTTCTCATTTCGACGAGTATTTTTTTTTCCATTTTATGTTCCTTGCTCCACCCGGTACCCTACCGCGTTTGCCCCGCAACCCCGGCTGAACCTTAGCCCTCTTGGACCACATCTGTAGTAGTCTATAAGATAATTTTACACAGTTCACAAAGTTTAAATCAATGTGAATCCTCTAGTCTTGAAATATCGGAAGAAATAATTCTATCTAAGTAATAAGCGGATATGAACTCTGGACTAGGTCAATTTGACGTCTTTGTACTCTGTGTAAGAAGCTGTAGGTACATTTTATAACGGGCTAGTCGATAGATAAGAAATAATCAATGAATTATCATTGGTCCTTATCTTTTCGGTCTAATTAATGATCACTTCAATGTATCATAATAATAAATATAGGTGTTAAATAGTCACGATGTAGTCATGTGGAGTGCATCCTAAGTCACTATGATGACAAATGATTTTAGAACTTTAGACCATCTACTTATAGTAGTAGTTAGTAGTTATAGTAGTACTTATAGTCTAAGTTTCTATAAATATACATTATATAGGTATATTCTGCTAATCACATATTGTTGTTTTAGTACTGAATCTTCAAATGAACGGAAGAAAAGCAGTTTAGATATTCTCATATTATCAGTTCGTACCAAAGGACCAAGAAAATTAACGTCTTTTTGTAGGACCAATTATTGTGACCTTATATTATGACATCGCTGCCGAGTTTTAAGTACTCCGTTGAAGAGTCGATGAGGCATTGCATTGCATTTTAAAGATTTCCAAAAAAAGGACCAACTCTTGTTACATAATGTCTACAGAGGATTTAGTTCTTTATTGTCATAGTATTACAGGTGTAACTTACATGAACCAGCCAATGTACAAGTTGTACGAAGGGTGCCAGAATAGTGGCATCGTGGACCTTCTTGATGACCAGAACCGTAAGCGGTGGTTTGTACCATGTCAGCCGCTGCGAGGCCGGGTCCTGGATTTGCCTGTAATTAGATAGGAAAACTATTAATGTCAGAAATGTGGAACAACTTAATAATACTCAGATTTCATTATTTTTTAAACCTGATAAGGTTGGGTACAGAAAAATGCTATAACTTAACTGGCAAAAAAATACTGAAAATTTGATAAATATAAAAACTAAGTAAGACTGTGGGACCAGGGGTTCTTCTCCAGGACTCTGTAATATGCAACCGTTCATTGGTTGCGGGTGCAAGCGTAGTCGTATCGCAGCCGTAGCAGGAGAATGAACGGGGTAGTTTTTAGTTAGTAAGAGTCTGTCACTCTCACCCACTCAGGGAGGGAGAAGACATTTGATGACTTTCCACCTCCACCCTCAAAAAAGTTATTTTATAAGAGATATTTTTCGTTTTCTGTCATAGAATGTATACCTCTGTAAATTAAATTACTGCTATCTCTATAATACTTTAAAGTTGTAATAAAATATTGACCTTGAGTGATTTACTTAGAACTTTGGTGTTTGATAAACAGTAAGTTATAAATAATAGAGAATTTATTGCGAAGGTAACTCAAAATAAACGTCTTAATGAATGCTAAGGCCGTTATAGCACCGCTAAATGATTGTATACAAAAAAAACATGAGACGACAAAAAAATATAACTTTAAATTGTAAGGTAGGTATTGGTTGATAATAGCTAACTTTTTATCACGTTCTGTTAATGGCAATGTAGTTTTTTTATATAATAATATCATACTTGAACTATTTGGAATTCTTTACGAGGACTTTACATTTTATAAACATGTTGATTTGCCCCTTTCCGTACCTTTAAATCCGAATCGTTGCATTAAAGGATGCTTTCCACAAAAATAAAAAAAGGGATACTTATAAACTTATTATACGACTCGCTCATGACTGAATTGTGAGAAAGAGACATCCAACCTGACATAAATTTTCCGATGGTTCTTTGTTCAGTTAACCCCTTTACAATGCTACTTATTGTCACATACCGGAGATATGGAAAAGTCCTAACTTTGTGCATACAGTTTAATGCTTTATTAAATTCTTTTTAGGGTCCAAATTCAAGGTATCATAGATCACCTACAATAATTGTGCCATCTCTTTTGCGCTTTGGCTTAAGTCATTCTATCTCTTGCATAATATTCACCGAGGGAATTGAAAACTATTTCTTTTTCTTCTTTGCTTACAAAACCTTCTTACTTCTTACATGATCCAAGTCAAGTTTTATATTCATATCCCCTAGGACAGACGGAATTTACGGTTTCGGCATTTGTAAGATTGCTTCTACCTTAAGATCAGCTTGGGGAGCTTGTCTCATTTTTTTTATGTAATAGTTCGGCAAACGAGGAGACGGGTTACCTGATGGTAAGCAATCAGCGCCGCTCATGGAAACACGTAACGGAGGAGTTACGAGTGCGTTGCCGACCTTTTAGGGATTTGGAGATTTAGGAACTGGGGAGGGATTGGCAAGGGGAAGGATTGGGCCTCCGGTAACCTCACTTACACGGCGAAACACAACAATGTGGTTGTTTTACGCCGGTTTTCTGAGAGGCCGTGGTGGTGTCCGGTCGAGCCGACCCATTCGAGCCGAAGCATGGCTCTCCCACACTTATGGATGGCTCTCTCATAAAAAACTATTCCTAGATCATCAAAGGTGTGTATTGAAATAATACTTACATAACCATAGCCGAGTTTTTCATTATTCTTCCGCATGGTCCAAACTGCTGTATCGGCGAGGGTGCGTTCAGGGATCTCGTCCGTCTAAAAAACAAAACATAGAATGTTAACATACACTATTTACATACGTACCTACATATTTATAAGTTAATACTAATGCATTTACTTGGATATTTTAATTACAATGTAATTTACATAAAGTTAGAATAGACTAGAATTGTTCACAATATTAACGCGATTTACTTTTTGTTTTATTTTTACCTGGAGTCCTGAAATACAGGGGTTCCCTAGTTTAGGCTCCAGTCCACCCTTGAATTGTTATGTACTGTCTAAACTGTTCCTACATTAGTGGTGGAAAATAAATGCATTTTATTTTTTATTTATATATAAAAATATAGATACTAACGCTTTGGGTTTTTAAGTATTTATTAATTTAACATTAAAGATACCCAAAGGGAAATATATATAGGTGTTAACCAGCAGCTAATATATACTAACATGTAAAGGACTAGTTAGTCCTTTCCGTTGTTTTGACTTAACTAATTACGTATTAAAAAAATAGGAACAAATATTTTTATCAAAATTATCGGCTGTGGGTTGTTTAAAGAAGATAATTACAAATTAAACTTTATAGGCGAACGAAAAGCAACATACGACGAGAAAAAAGGCGTCAAACTAAAAAAGGAAATTAGATAAAAAAATGTGTAATATGTACCTATATTGTTCAAATACCTATTACGGGGAAGTACCAATAAAAGCGGTAAATTATACAATATTATGTAAGCAGTTAATAATGTAAGTACATAAGTACTTTTATTAAAATGTGACGCGCGAAAAATCTCACGTGAAATAAACGTGACAGCACATATAACAAACCAGCTACAAATGTATCGTAAACACGACCTTTAATGTCTAACTATTACTTAGTTTTATATATTTTTTTCAATATTCATCATTATTAACAGTATACCGTTATGCCAATTACTTTTTATTTCTTTTGATTTCAACTCTTGCACTTCATTATTAGTCATTGTATTGGTGTAAAAATATCTTACAATGCCCGGGGATGCAAGCGCAATAGTGTATACCATGGCTTCGACCTGGAGCAGGACAAATAAAAAGACTAAAAAGGACCCCGTTGGTGGTTTTTAACAGAAGTCTGACATTCCCTGTAACCCACGACGAGAGTAGTTTTTTGAAAACTATTCCCCTTTCAATAAAAAATACAAAAAATAAAGTAAAATGCATATAATTTATCAACGAGGGATCTTTGTGTTCCTTTTGGTAGGACCCGACATTTGGCTCGAAGAAAATATCGAATAAATAAATAAAATTGACTAGGAAATATCGTTTTATAATACAAAACAAAACACTACGTACTATTTTTATTTCACGTGAAAGTTTAGATTACAATAACGTTTTGTTGTTTTCCTATATTTATTTTGTCACATTGACGTAACTGAATGTTAAATTATTTGGTGTTCTTTTCGAATGTTGTTTTCTTTAATGCACACTTCGTTTGTTCTGAAGGACCACATTTGGTCTTTTTGAATTAATTTGAAAGTGGAACAAGAAAACTTTAACTATTTCGTAAAGGTTAATAAGGATTAAGTGTGTCGTGGTGGCCCGGAGGTTAAGGAGCCCGCTTCTCATGCATGAGGATTGAGGGTTCGAACCTGGCAAGTACCAGTGTGACTTTTTCCGAGTTACATGTACTTTCTTTGATTATTTAGACACCACTGACATACGGTGAAGGTAAATATCGCGAGGAAACCTGGACTTACAATTTCTAATTAAAAGTTTGAAATCGCCAACCCGCATTGAGCAAGCGTGGTGATTAATGTTCTAACCTTCTCCGTATGAGAAGAGGCCTTTGCTCAGCAGTGGGTAATTATAGGCTGATGATGATGATGATAATAAGGATTCAACACGTTAAAAGTTCAAGTACTTACGTTAAATCTGTAAGTACTTGCAGATTTACCCTGCACATAACAGGTACTATTTAAATGGTCTTTTCATCCGCAAAACGTTTCGACCTTAAACGATGAAGGTATTTAAGAGCAAGACAGGAATGTGACCGGTTATATGTGCCATCAGCATTTCCATAAATGTTTACAATTTGAAATGTTAAAGAAAAACAACGCGTGTTAAAGATATTTAGTGTAACGATATCAGCTTGTTAACTATTTTAGCGGTGAGCGGTGACCTTGGTCTTTATAAAGAGGTACAATAAGTTTGAGATGATTTGAAATCACGAAGGAAACATCCGGGATCATTCCTCTATGTTTGAAATGGATAATAACGAAATATTGTAGACTGGAAAAGAATGCTTATTGCAGGAACTCCGCCTTATGCATAATTTTTGGCTGTGCATGAAGTTTTTAGATTAATCAATAATGTAAAGTAATTCAAAGATGATATTTAACTTTCTAATATTTTCCGAGTTATTTATTTATTTATTATACTTTATTTTTTATTTATACATAGGTTGAACACATATACATAGGTACATTTAATAAAGTTACAATTATGCTCGAAATATACAATGAGTGGTCATATCGTACCTACTCTATGATGTCTTAATAGAATTAAGTATTTCCTACTGATCTCATTCACTGTTATCACTTTATTTTTAAGAATGCTGGTTACCTGTAATTGGCGACTGTATAAGGCCAAAACCTAATGTTATTATTGTTTTATTTAATTTGCTATATACCTACAGAAGCTGTTGGTGTACCTTTTTTAAATAAATAAATAAATGTCTTCCTGACACTGGGGTTTCTATTTGTTTTTCTAAAATAAATAGTTATTTGCGCGAAGTGCTCACTTCCAAAGTGACCAAATGTATCAATAACACCTTTAATTTTTAAAATAAATCATTTAAATGATGTTTATTGCAATGTAAACTTCAATCGAAAATTGATCCCCAAAAGAACGTCGGCGTTCGCGCACCTATTGCTCTTCTATTTTGTCTCGAATTACCACGTTGAAAGATTAAACAAGATCTAGTAAACAGTTTTTTTAAATAAGTCATAAATTGGAATTTTAGGTTAGGTACTCGCTGCAACTCGCTTTTGCCAGTTTTTCTACTATCAATGTCATAATAATAATAGGTCTTTACCTATGAAATTGCCGTTCTGTAGTACTGGCCATTTCAAATAAAAATAGTTTTTGTTAGGCTAAGGCTAATTAATTTTGTTTTAAAAACATGGGATTTTTTTCCAAAAGAAATTTTTTTTTTCATTTGTTTATTGATCACATTTTCATCGCATTTCAAATCAAAAAATTCGTTTAAATATTTTCATGCAAAACGGCAATTTCATAGGTAAACCAAAAACCTATTATTAAAAAACCTTAAATAAATACAGCACGATATTACAGTTTTAATACTAATTAGTATAACTGTTATAAATACCTGAACTAGAAATGTATGCTATAACATTTTTCATATAATAATAATTTACACGTATGTCACTACTGAACCAAAACAATAAACTAAACGCACGACCAGAAAACCAAGTTGCTATTGTATAAATTTATTTATTTTATTCACATACAGGTTGTTTTAAAATTTTAATTATTAAAATCAACTTTTGGCAAACATAGACAAACAATATATGTAAAAGTCAAAAGTCAAAAATCATTTATTCCAATTAGACCTTAACAGGCACTTTTGAACGTCAAACAAAATTTTGAAGATATTGTGTCAGTCTGTTCAGTCCTCTTAGTGATGCTATTTTCTCGTTCCAAAGTGTAAATATATTATAAAAGCAAAAATTTACGTGTAAAATATTTGTTAAGTATAATTAACATGCAAATAACATGAAAACCAGTTGAAAATATAATAAATATATTCCTCGTTGTTCATTGAAATGTACCTATAGCAAAAACCACATAATTTGTTGTTAATATATAAAATACTTGTTTTCGGGAAAATATTGTCGTTTGTTTTATTGTTTATAGTTTTGCGGTTTAGATACCTACACGTGATATTGATGGGCAATTTAAAATTATAGTTGCTATATAAAATTATTGTTAGTCGTTTTATTTATACTTTTATATGTATATTTATTTAATTTACAATTTATTTAAGTTCATTTTTATTTATTCTTTTTATATAACTATAAGTATACAATTGACGCATAGTTCATACAAATTGTGTTCTATTTTCAAATGTATATGGGAAGACACAGCGGCTTTTAGAAATTGTAAACCTAGGATTTTTTGTTCCTACTAAAATTATCCAATAGTTATTCTACGCGTAATATACGTACATTTAACTAACATTGAAAATAATTTACGGAATACCTATAAGTAACACATTCTTAAACTACAACTTCTAAACTAATCAGCGGTAGCTAGTATTATTATTGTTGTTGATATAATGTTTGTGTTCCATGCGTAGGAATAAAACACAATTATTTCCGCAAGCGATAATATCTTAAGTGTACATAAACATAATACTTACCTACATTTGTATGTAATGTAAGTATAATAAAAAATACAGAAAGATTATTAGCTCATTTACTATTTAAAAATATGTTTCAATAATTATGATATATTTTTATTATAACTTTCGTGAGACATTCTAAATTATTTATTATGTTTTCGGCTTACTCACGTAATAACAGTAGCAGCGCGACGGTCGCCGAGTCGCGTGTCGCGGAATGCTGCTCATGAATATGGGCCTTTAGCATGGCTTGAAACTAGTCGAGTATCTCGTCAAATTATTACGTGAGTAAGCCGAAAACATAATAAATAATTATGATATAAAAAAAATCGGTTCTATAAATTGTCTTGACAAAAAAGAATCACACTGTATAAACTAAAGTCACAATGAACACAAAATGTTATGCATAAGAAGTATATGTATTAACCCGATTGACATTATTAATGAGGAACGCACGACAGTCAGTCACACACTGATATAAAAATAACATAATTATATGAAAAAATATAACAAAAACCGCTATAGCATTACCTATGTTTAGCACGATCACTATTTGTGGCGTGACTTGACATCATTTTTATATACGCAATAAAAAAAAAAACATTTGAAGCGACTTGGTTTTAAGTACTTATTA